TTTACAATTAGTTTTTTTTTGTTTTTCGTTGCATTACCATAGACTCAGAGATGTTTCTCAGACTACATGCGTTTTACCTTTACCCATGGATGCACAATAAGAACAGACCCATATCGCCTTACTGCCAGCTCACGGAGCTGTAATAATGGATATATTGCACATGTTTGCTGTAATTCATCATTTGTAAAATATTATACTACATGGGCTGTATGATGTAAATCTTGTATTAAATAAAGTTAATATTACCGACGTAGATTAACGTTCCTGTAGCTTCTTATTGCACTAAGAATCTTATTGCACTGTGTATATATATATATATATATATATATATATATATGTATGTTAGTATATATGTACATATATATGTATGTATATGTATGTATATCTATGTATATATATATATATATATATATATATATATACATACATATAACACACACAATACTAGATTAATAATAATAATAATAATAATATATACTAGATTTCAGGATTTATTTACAATTAGTTTTTTTTGTTTTTCGTTGCATTACCATAGACTCAGAGATGTTTCTCAGACTTTAATATATTCCCAGTGCGATTAACAAGTTAAAATACACTTAAAACTTGAGTAAAATGTTATATTTCATGGGCTTAAGCCTAGGGCTATGAAATGGTAAAATTCAATGACTAATCAATAACAATCACAGAAGCATTCTGTTAACGCTTGCCATGTGTAATATGCTGGAACTATGGGAAGTATAACGCTGAACAGGAGACTTGAAACAGAGATACAACGTAGTTATTTATTGATAATAATTCACAAAACACTCAAACTGAGAGATGGTTCTGACTTCAAACCTTTTTAACGCATCTCTTTGGCTTCCTGACATGTCCTTCACTGTTAGCATGATTAAGGCAACAGGTGCATTCTTCATTTAAATAACTTCAATATCATCAGCAGCTAGGATGACTTTACACAGGTTGTTCGATATAAAAGCATCAACTACTGTTACATATTAAATATGACAGATTGTTTGATTAACACAACGGTTATTCATGATACATATAAGTGTTATAATCTTTACAATATACTTGTAATGATAGGCCCATTAATGTGGCAATAAGGCAAGGCAACACACACTTCCTGACCACACACACACACACCATGTTACATACTGTATATAGTTATATATGTATATGAAGGACTAGCAAGGTTAGTGGTTTGACAGTGTGTTCACATTCTGTGCTCACCAGGCTTTCATGAATACATGGAAAAAGAAGAAAAGCAGAGGGGGCTTGAACTCTGCAGCTAGCTGTAGCATGCTAATGCGCTGCTAGCTAATTGCAGCTAACGCTTGAACAGTCAGTACATTTGTTGTTTGCGAATAAAGGAATAAAGGAATAAAGGAGTTGAAGATGTGTCCCCTTTTTACAAGGTGAAGATATATCAAGGGTATCACTTTTAAACCATGAGGCAGGGTCCGCTGTTCCTGAGTAGAGCAAATGCTTTATAAGGTGAAATTATTTAGACTGCAAATGCTGAGCCAGATTAACATTTAAACTCTAAACTTTCACAAATGCGCTCATATGGCATTATACCAGATGAAATGTCTGCGTAGTAAGTGCATATTGATATTTGTACACTTAAACTTTAGATGTCACTTCTTCTGTACACATAGTGATAGAGGTTGCATTTAATACATTTTTGTATTTATGCGTATTTCTTAGAATTGTAAGAGATAATGAGCCCTGTCTACAATTATTAGAGCAGTGTACTTTGTAGTCATTAGTACACTGACTTGCTTCTCTGACAGCAGAAGAAGAAACAATCTGTGTTGTTTCCACCTGAGCTGGAGCTGAACTTTGGCACCACGTACACAGCAGGTAAGGGAATTTTAGAAAACATCACACTTGACTTTGGACCCATGTTTCCTGTCTTTATGACTTGCTGTTACATGTCTAGGAGTTGTATAAGGACACTGGCTGCCTGAAACTTATGAGCACTAATCAAATACAAACTGTTAATAAGATTACATTTTAATTTCACTAATTATCTATACATATAAAACAAGTACGTTAAGGATATGAGAGCTTAAAAACTGGATTATACAGTGAGATACACTGTTTGATTGAAATGAGAGGACCAGCATTATGTTCTGCCCTCACCTCTATTACCTCATACACTGGGACCATTAAGATTCAATTGGCTTTAATGCCTGTAATGTTTCCGTGTCTCTTAGCTTCATATCATCCTCTCCCCTCGGTCACTCCTGCTTTTTGATGGCATGTCCCTTGAAGTGGTCCATGAGGCTGAAGGCTCCCAGGTATTGGCCCAGCATGATGCCCTGCTTCACAGGGAGGATGCTGCGGAGAAACAAAGGAAATATCTGTTAGCTCTCACTTTAGTTCAGGTGAGGAGTGGGGTATGGATATTAAACCAACGTAAGAAACTCCTAAAGAAGATCAAGATCATATATGTTAAATATATTAATCATGTACAGTAGTGGGAAATGTTCAGTATTGACCTCAATCCATAGGCATTTATATATAATGTGGTTCCATTTCATGTAATTATTCCAACAATAAAGTGACACACTCCCTAGCTCTGTGTTCGCTGTTTCAATGGATTCTCTTAAAGCAACTTAAAGGGATGATCAATTATGGTATGTGCCCAGATTTTCTATGTGCTGCAGACACATCTTTGTGCAGAGGGAAAGGGCAGGGGTCGGCAAGTAAATTTGGCGTTGCATCCCTTGTAAAAAATATTTGTGTTAGCAGCTTCTCGATGACTAACAATTACTCTTTTATCTCCGAAGACGGAGCAGAGGCAAGGCTGGATAATACAACAACGCGTTATTAAAGACGGAATACAAAGGCTTTTATGTAAAACCAGCAGAGGGGACAGGAAAAGCGCTATCTCCATTTGTGTGAGCCGTGTTCCAGAGAGGAACATCTTTCTAATGAGAATCATTTATAAATATTAAATAATAGCTCCGTTCTGAGACAAATGGACCCGAGAAAGGACAGAAGACTGCAGAAAGACCAGTGATGGATCAAGACAATGCTCATCTTTTATCACCTGGGTCAAGTGATGGGAGTCATTCACACTACTGCTGCGTTATGGGAAATGTAGGCACCAAACCTATTCCTGTTATTAAGACTTCACACATCCGAAAATCCTAAAAAAGGGCCCTATTATGCTACTTTTCAGGTTCATATTTGTATTAAGGGCCTCTACTGTGACATGTCTCAGAGCTTTAACGTTCAAAAAACCCTTTATTTTTCTTATATTGACTGTGCTGCAGCGCCTCTTTTCACCCTCTGTCTGAAACCAGAGCCCAGTCTGCTCTGATTGGTTAGCTGGCCGGCTCTGTTGTGATTGGTCAACTGCTTAGAGATGTCCCGCCCCATAGCCTATCACATACAATGTTTAGGAGCGCCAACCAATAGGAGCACACGTGTGACATAGTGATGTCATTATGTTCGGGAAGTAAACAAAGGAGTCCAATGGAGGCGTTTTAGGCAAGGGGGGAAGTGTAGGAGAGAAATTCCCTGGAGTGAACAAAGTAATTATAGCCTCTGCAGACCATTTACATGCACTAAAACCTATAGAACACACTACAGGAAAGGGAAAACACCCAAAAAGTATAATAGGGCCTCTTTAAGCTTTTACAATCTGACAACAGTAATGTGGTGCAGCCACGTTAGACATGTTAGCATCCTTTCTGAATAAGTCTACATTTGTATGAGCATGGCCGAGTGAGATTAACAGGCGGTTCACTTCAAGGCTTAGCATAAAGGTCAGGAGACTAAAGAAAGTCGAATTGCTGAACACACTTTAGGTCCGCTATTGACTCTGTAGATATGTACAGTGAAAGGTGTATGGAGAAAGGGTTTCAGTGAAGGGAAGTAAAAAGGTAGACACTCACGTCTTGAGAGCAGTGATGAGGTACATGGTCCTGGGCAGGAGCAGGAACACCTGGTCTGTGAGCACAGCCGTGATGATCTTCTTGGCTACATAGTTTGGATCCAGGATTGGCAGCAGCGTTGGCCACCTGGTGAAAACAAGAAAAAGGATTTAGACAAAATAATACAGCAATAAATGGATACCACAAAATGTTGATCCTTTGAGCAGGTCCTTTTTTAGATGCTGTTTTAAAAGTGTGTGAGAAGTAGGAAGTGAAGCATGTGTCCTGGTGCCTTCAGGGGCTGTTTGATGGGGGAATGCAGAGAGACAGAAATACAGATGGACACTATAGTCTGCAAGTGTAACAGATGTAAATATGCAGTGGGGTTTATTTAATTTAATTTTGTATAATCACACAAATTCTGTGTTTTATATTATTTTATTCTGTGTTACCTGGCAAGGTCGGAGATCAGTGGGCGGAACCTCTGAAGTGTGGTCGCTGTGCTCAGGAGTTTATTGTTGTGAGGACTTCTATATATCGTGTCCCTCACGTTTCCTCTGCCCTTTTTGTAAACGTTCCACGTGAGAGGAGTCACTGTGAGGGAAGTTCATGTAAAACTGATCGTTTTATCTGTTGTCAGTAATTAAACAGAGGAGATCGTCTCAACTCTACGCTGGCTCGGGTCTCGTCCATTAACGCAGAGACCGCTTAACCACACCGGTTACACGAGCACATTCAAAACCTGACCCCAGGACTTCTAAGTGTGTGTGTGTGTGTGTGTGTGTGTGTGTGTGTGTGTGTGTGTGTGTGTGTGTGTGTGTGTGTGTGGGGGGGGTGTGTGGGGGGGTGTGGGGGGGTGAAAAAAGAAAGGCACCGTCAGTCCAATGTCTGCCAGGTAAAGTGTCCCCGGAGAGGCCTGAGGCTCGTCGCTCTTCTTGTCCATGCGTCCATTTGTGTGAGTCATTAGATCAAGGTTAAAGGCTAGTACACTGAATTAACAACAAGGGTGGCCATGGCACTATGTGGGATGTGTGCATTGATAACAAATACGTATTGGGATCATTTTGTATTAATGTGGACCGGAGGGAGAGGGTGACGAGCATAAGTTTCACTTTCCTTTTTTATTTCAATTCCAACTTTGGTCATGAGAAATATGTTTCTCTGTCTGTTCTTATTATAGCCTACATCCATGTTGTATTCCGCTGTATAGAAAACTGTCGGATAGTGCAAGTGCAGTCGGATTCTCAAAGCACCGCAGTCTCTTCTCCTAAATCCTTTTGAATTCTCCTATCCACTATCCCTTAACACCGTGACGTTTCACTCCGAGGTCAAGGAATAGATGATAGGGATAGACGATAGGAGCTGACTTTTGGACTATTCGACTGCAACCTGGGAAAGCACTCTGTTAGACAGGGGGGAGCCTCTCTGATGGTTGACTAATCAGAACAGAGGCGGTGAGCTGACCAATCAGAGCACACTGGGCTCATAGGGAGGGGGGGGGGGGCAGGAGCTCAAACAAGGCGTGTAGGACAGAGAGTGAATACACATATTATACAGAGATGCTGTATGAGAAACCAATGTGATTTGGGAATATTGAACAATGTAAATCTATTCTATGCTCCAATTCAAACACTGAGTAAGTGCATTGAACAAATCAATGACTGGATGTGTCAGAACTTTCTCCAATTAAACAAAGATAAAACTGAGGTAATGGTTTTTGGAGCCAAGGCAGAACGTATAAAAGTTAGCACTGAGCTTCAGTGTGCAATGTTCAAAACAACAGATAAAGCCAGAAATCTAGGTGTAGTCATGGACTCTGACCTGAGTTTCAACAGTCACATTAAAACAGTTACTTAATCAGCCTACTATCACCTAAAGAACATATCTAGGATTAAAAGACTAATGTCACAGCAGGATTTGGAAAAACTTGTCCATGCTTTTATCTTCAGTAGACTGGACTACTGTAATGTGTCTTCACAGGTCTCACTAAAAAATCTATTAGGAAGCTGCAGCTGATTCAGAACGCCGACTGCTCGAGTCCTCACTAACACTAAGAAAGTGGATCACATCACTCCTGTTCTGAAGTCTTTACACTGGCTTCCTGTGTGTCAAAGAATAGATTTCTAAATACTGCTGCTGGTTTATAAGGCACTGAATGGTTTAGGCCCAAAATACATTTCTGACCTCCTGCTAAATTATGAACCATCCAGATCTCTCAGGTCTTCAGGGACTGGTCAGCTTTCTGTCCCCAGAGTCAGAACTAAACATGGTAAAGCAGCGTTCAGTTATTATGCTCCAAATATCTGGAACAAACTCCCAGAAACCTGCAGGTCCGCTGCAACTCTGACTACTTTTAAATCCAGACTGAAGACTTTTCTTTTTGTCGCTGCTTTTAATTGAACTATTCATATCTTAGACTGCACTGTAACTTTTATCCATGTACTTTTTTCTTTTAATGTTTAATTGACTGCCATGTATTTTTTTCTTTTAATGTTTATTTTATTAGCTTTTCTTTTTAATGACTGATTTTAAATGCCATTTTTTTAATCTCTTTCATTTTTTGTAAAGCACTTTGAATTGCCTTGTGTTGAAAAGTGCTATATAAATAAACTTGCCTTGCCTTGCCTTGCCTAGACCTCAACAATGGAATTATGATCAGTAGAAATGGCTAAAACATGGGGCCTTTAACTTCCAACCGGTCCATTTTAGTTTCCAACACAGCAATCTTCAGAAGAAGTTTATGGAAGTCATCAGTAGAGATGGAGAGGCCTTTTGTTGCTAACTAGCTTTAGCTAAGTAGCACGTAGTCTAGGCTTTAGCTGTAGGTAGGCCATGCTACTGCAGGACTGAGGTTGTTGTTAACATTTTAAAATATGACAAGAGTCCTCTGTCCATCTTCAAAGAATAACAGTCCCAGTGATCAATAAATGTCCCGGAGCCGCTGCTCAAAGTTTTCAGATAAGAACAATAGGAAAATCAGCAGAAGAAAGTAAGCGGAGGCGAGTGCAAGCATAGTATCTACTCACTAACAAATTGATGTAGGCTACTCCCGGGCAACCTGAACAAATAATAGCTAATATGGCCAAAGTCCTTGCTGTTATAAACCCCTGGCAGGTCTGTAGACATTAAATGAACAGACAAAAAAAGAAATCCTGTAAAGAGACCTACTTAGTTTGACATCCATCGAACATTCCTGTGTTGATGAAGTATGGGCACACAATGGTTGTCTTCACGCCATCTTTCCCAGTGGCCAACAGCTCCAGACCCACGGACTCCGCAAAACCTACTGCTGCAAACTTACTGGCGCAGTAGTCTGCAGAGAGAAGAGGAGGAAAGCATGAGCATTTTAAAAGCAACCGTAAAACCCAGAAATACTGCTAATTCACACTCACTCAACCCAATCACATGTTCCCTTTAAAGTCATTAAGAAAAAAAACACTCAGGTAAAAATGTAAGAACACTGCATTCATACTAATGTTTTATATCATACTCATAAAGATCTTCCACACTGAACCCTCAGAACATAGGGGGATGGGTGACCGGAATTTTATATTTTCTGGTTTAAATAAAAAGCACACTGAGGTAGAATATCTTCACAAATGAAATCAACACAAGTAGTCAATGTTTAGTGAAATCTCACAATTCTCCATGCCAATTCAATATAATAGTGAACGAATCCAGATGATGTCATGTGTCATCAACTATATTCTTACTGTTTTGAATAGCCTGAAGGCTCTGAATGACATGAAATGAGTCACCTCTCCATGTGTGTGAGGCTCTGCACCTTGGTGCACAACAGTACTGTGTTTTACAAGTAGCAAACCTCTTAAGACTTTATGAACATGTTATGTGTGTGTAACCCATGGAGGTATAAAGAGAACTAGATACAGCGTTGGAGGCGGGGCCCCGTTCAGTCCTATGAAAGTTGCTCAGTGGAGAATGAAGCCAAAGTGATCTAACTCCAGAACAAATGGCACCTGGTTCTCCCAGCGAACTAACGCATCCATTGGGCCATAGAGCATGCACACTAGTGTTCTCCTTAAGCCCTGCCTCCAATCCATTATGTCATGTCTGGGCTCGACTTAGTGAGAGGCAAAATATCCCTGGAATCAGCTATCAGAGCATTTTATAATTATTCAAATGTTAAAAGGCTATTCAAATGCAAGACTGTGAAGTTGGCTTACCAAACAAAACCATGACACTGATTTACAGATGTCTTTCTCCCGATGGAAGTAAATGGGAAAAGTCTTTAAGGGACCAATGACGACGATTGACTGACACAGAAGTTGTAGTACCACCGTTTGGCCACTGTTGATAATTTGCTTCAACGCTTGGCCCACCTTCTGGGAGCTTGATGTAACCCCACCAAGTGCAGTTGACATGGAGATAGGAAAGGAGTGTGTGTGCGAGTGTGTGTTTGTTTGTGTGCGATTAACAGTATGAACAAAGTAGAACTGTTTAATCTGTGAACAATCTAGTGTGTGTGCATTTAATTTGACGGTGAATACTTCCAACAACTTTTCTAAGACTAAAGCCAACTCCTTTGTGTTGCTTTCAACTCCATTTCAAAGCGATGACTTAAAGGTCCTCGTTTTCAAACAGGCAGAATATGCAGAATATCCACAAGTCATGTTTTACTGAGCTGACATCAGTCAGATTGTAGAGGAGATGGACAAATGGTTGATTTCAGGTCTAAGGCTGTTCAACATTTAGAATACAATGTATCTGAAAATCAGTGCAGCGTATCTTCCCACCGCATCTTCTCAGTGTCTCTGGTTTCATTCAGAGGAAGTAGGAAGTGAGCACAGTAAATCATGCACATTCAAAGTAGTCATGTGACATGTTGTTTGTTGCACCAGTTATTATCTTGTGCCACGGCTACATCTTTTGAATGATATAACCCAGGCAGAGTCAATATTGATAAGGCACTCTAATCTTTCTTCTGAATATGGGTGAGAGGGCGACGAGTGATTATCTTAGAGAAGAATTATTAAAGGAATCTTTATCTGGTCGCCTAATGAAGTCAGCAGATGCCTGCCAGTGCTTCTCAAACAAAGTTCAACCAAAACCCATATCATTAAAGAAAAAGAGAGGAAACAAGACTAGGACTGATCTGTACTGAAAACAAAACAAAAATATTGTAACATTTAAAAAAACAGTTACTGATTTAAACATTTTGGATCCATTTCAAGACAATAATTACTAAAATTGCGAACAACAATCCAAATTGGTTTCCGATGTTCTACTGTGATTTGTGATTAGTTCAGCCTCAACATGGCCATACAGCTGCACTGAAAATGATCTGATAATCAAATGTGTTTAAACACCACCAACGTTCGGGGTCTATTCTGAGCATTTAGATATAAACTCCCTGATGTTGAATCTATACAAAATATCGCAGATTATTGGTAATTAAATGAAAATGTGACACTTTCACACAGCCATGATTAAAATAAAAGGTGCAGAATTTGACCCAGTCCATGCAATAAAAATACACACTCAGTTATTTTATAAAAGAGTTGTCGCACACTCTATCGTGTGTTGTCGTTTCTTCTATAAATGTAATTATGGCTTAAAGAAAATACATTTAAAAAAAGACTTAACCTGTTTAGCCCTGAGCTTGTTTTTCAGGTCTCAGGCTCGAAAATGACATTCCCAGAACAAATGATCATATATTCCCTTCTAAAAGGGGTAAATTAATAATCTTTTTTCTCAAAGCAATGATAAACCTGTGAGTTGGATGTAGAATAGTCAGAATAAATATAGATTTATTTTTAATTTACCAAGCTCATTAATGGCGCATTTCCACTACAGGGCCTCGCACGGCTTAGTACGGTAGGCTTATAGTTAGGCCTTGGTAGGCCAGGATCACTTTATGCTGTGTTTCCATTACAGTTTAGTAGCTGGGGCAGTAACTATAGTAACGCAGTGTAGGCGGAGCCGTGACGTCATCTTCAATGTGAAACACAGAAAACTAACATCAGCCGTTAGCCGTTAGCACTCAGAGCTCACAGCTCCTCATATCTGTTCAGAAACTAGATAAGAGTTAAACAAGTACAAACCACAGACTGTCTGTGTCATGGTGAATACAGTCGCTGCTTTATTTACATCTGTGTCACAGACTTCTGTTGTCTCCCAGCTTCAGACAGGACATTGAACGCAACGAACTCAGTTTGTACAGGCGGCACCAGAAAACCCCTTTCCACCAACTCATCCACCACCAGAGCCTTTAATTCTTTTTTTCCTAACTGTTTTGCCACTGTGAGACCGAAATGTTGCGCAATCTCATATAAGTCGTCTCTACGACACTGAACTAACTGCTCATGAGAAGGACAGACCAAAAACGACTCCAAATCAAAAGTTGCCATACTCAGTTAAAACTGCACACAACCTTACCAAATTGTTTTTAGCTGTACAAAACCACTTATAACCCCAGGAAAGTAGTTAATATCCCGGACGAGCCCCCATGTATGTTACGTCCCAACTAGGTGAAGAGGAATGCAACGCACACCAGTATGTAATTGGTAATAATTATAAATAGTTTTATTACAGAACAGGGTGTAACAAAATGGAAGGCGTGCAGCCTGAACAAACAAAAGGGCCAAAAGGGCACAGGTTGATAACCAACCTAACAAAAGGAGCTCTAAAAAAAGCAGTCTACTTAAATACAAAGAAATATAGCTAATAACCAAAATAACCCTCACCGTCAAAGTGGTACAGTCTAAAGAAAGGAAGCTGTAAGAAAACACAGCTGAAGGAGAGAAACTAAGCACCCTACGCTAAACACATATATCCACACTCAACACTAAGCACATCTCTCGACACTCGTCACTAAGCACAAGTTGTCACTCGACACATATATTGTCACTCGACACTAAGCACATACATCGTCACTATACATTAAGCACATATGTTGACACTCGTCACTAAACACATATTCACACTCAACACTAAGCACATCTCTCGACACTCGTCACTAAGCACAAGTTGTCACTCGACAGATATATCGTCAATCGACACTAAGCACATACATCGTCACTAGACATTAAGCACATATGTTGACACTCGTCACTAAACACATATGTCACACCAAACACAATCTGTAGTGTCCATGACACAAGAGCAAAAGGTATGAGTCGTCTGATCGCAGCAGAGCCTCCTGAGTGATAATTGTTCCCAGGCCTTGTAGTCCTCTCCAGCAGGTGTGCGCTGGGCTTGCACAGGGATTGGAGAACGTCCAGCCAATGACGTTGGGGCAACCACACAGCTCATTTACATAATCACACACACAGCTGCAGACAATCCCAGACAGGTTACCGAGCAGGCAGAAACAACAGCCGTAACACCCCCTCCCTTAAAACACAAACTTATGGTTTTATTAACCTAAACACACTAACGAACTGCTAATAACACACATTCCAACATCACAAACTCAACCTGGACAAAGCATCGGCCAACACATTCTCTGAGCCCTTTAATGACGGGTGTCTAATGTTGTAATCCCGCACAATCAGAGCCCATTGCAGGAGACGGTGATTGTGCTTGGTTACGCCAGGGCAGAATATGAAGGGATCATAACAGCTAAACACCACAATTGGCCAAAGGCTGGGTCCAACATGAATCTTAACATGTTGTAGAGCTAACACCAACACCAGGATTCGATAAACTAGCTGACGCTCTCGGGTTACCGGGAGCGTCGAGAAGTCTAGAGGCTTGTCTGAGCCGGCGTGTTGCGCCGATCTCGCGACATCCTCACGAGGAGGAGGGGGAGCCACAATTTCTGGCTTCTCCTCGGACATAGCTTCATCTGAAAGCACAGGCTCAATCACAGGCTCAGATAATGAGACGTCAGGGTCACGTTTACTTGCCTGTGCGCGTGCGTGTGTAACCAGGCCAATGCCTTTAGGCGGGGACATATTCTGCTGCTGTTCCTTACGCTTCAGAGCTGCACAGTTGGCGATTACATGTCCAGGTTGATGACAATAGAAACACTCTCTCTCTTCTCTGTTCACGTTACACACATTTGCTGGCTGAGTAAATGGTGCGGCTGACACATGGCGGGATCTCTCAGTAGAGGCAGGGGAAAACAGTTTTATGCGTCAGCACATACTCATGAGCTAACACAGCGGCAGCAGAGAGAGAGTTTACCCTTTGTTCATACACATACTCAGCAATGCGATCAGGCAAACACTTCTTAAACTCCTCCAACATGATCAATTCCCTCAGAGAAGAATAATCCGTAGCTTTACCTGAGGCAATCCACTTAGCAAACCACATCCCTTTTACTCTGGCAAACTCCACATGAGTTTTGTTAGGATCCTTCCTAAGGTGTCTAAACTTTTGTCTGTAAGCTTCGGGAACGAATTCGTATACTCTGAGAATGGCAACCTTCACCAAGGCGTAATCTAGACTGTCCTCCAACGTAAGAGCCGCAACTGCTCCCTGAGCTTTTCCAAATAATTTGCACGTTACCATCAGAGCCCAAACTTCAGCCGGCCACCGCAACGCTGTAGCAATGCGCTCAAATGCGCTAAAATAGGCATCCACCTCAGTCTCAGTGAAGGTTGGCACTAGCGAAATGTTTTTACTCACATCAAAGGCAGGTGAATGAGAAGGAGATGATAGGCTTCCTCCGGCATGGTCAAAAGCACCGGACGCGCGCAGCTCGGAGTCTAGCTCCAGCTGACGTATCCGGACTTCCTTGTCGATTTCCAGCTTTCTTATTGTCAACTGAAACTGCCTGTCTTGCTCCTCGTCTTTTGCCTCTAACTGAAGACGTGCGAGACGGACCTTGAGTTTAATCTGAGCTGCCAGGAGACGGTGGGTCATAGCGAGGCGACGCGAACGGTGCTTTAAACTGCCCGCCGTCCTCACCGTCACCACCCTCTACCTGAGCAACTGAAGACTCCGCCTCAGACTTCTGTTGTCTCCCAGCTTCAGACAGGACATTGAACGCAGCGAACTCAGTTTGTACAGGCAGCACCAGAAAACCCCTTTCCACCAACTCATCCACCACCAGAGCCTTTCATTCTTTTTTTCCTAACTGTTTTGCCACTGTGAGACCGAAATGTTGCGCAATCTCATATAAGTCGTCTCTACGACACTGAACTATCTGCTCATGAGAAGGACAGACCAAAAACGACTCCAAATCAAAAGTTGCCATACTCAGTTAAAACTGCACACAACCTTACCAAATTGTTTTTAGCTGTACAAAACCACTTATAACCCCAGGAAAGTAGTTAATATCCTGGACGAGACCCCATGTATGTTACGTCCCAACTAGGGGAAGAGGAATGCAACACACACCAGTATGTGACGTTGGGGCAACCACACAGCTCATTTACATAATCACACACACAGCTGCAGACAATCCCAGACAGGTTACCGAGCAGGAAGAAACAACAGCCGTAACAGTCTGTATAGGCCGTTGTTGTGAGTGTGGACGGTCGGAGCGTATACTGCGTTAGCTTAGCCAATCTCCATTCAGAAAACACGCATTTTAAAAGGTGCTTCGCCTGCCATCTGTCTGCAGACTTTTCAAAGCATTAATTCATGGTTTTTACTAACCGGTATTAGTATGTTGTTCTTCGGCATCATTTTTGAAACGTGTATTACAATTAAATCACGGTGAAATATGTTCATTTTGTTGTAGTTGTAGCCCCCTTGCCAGCGATTCTCTCTCTAGTTTAGCATACTCAGCCCGGTTGTTGGCCCGAAAAGAACCTGGATTTTGGAGGGCCAGAAAAACTGTGCCCGTTAGCCGGAACTACCCCTAGTGGAAACGCAACAAAAAACGGGCCGGGTTTGGCACGGCACGCTTAAACCATGCTACGCGCTGCAGTGGAAATGCGCCATTAGACGATTCTTGTGAGACTTGTGTTTTGTTTCGGTAAAAAAAATTCAAATCGTCAGTTAGCTGAGTTTCTTCCCGTTAAGTGGGTATGGCACATTAATAGGTTGTTAAATGTTAAGAAGCCCTGAGACACAGTTTTGTGAGGGAGTTAAGCACTGCTAGGGCCCAGAACAATATTCATGTTGTAATATGTTCACATTGACTTCATGACACACTGTGAATAACCTTTTTAAACTATGAGCAGATTAAGTAACCTGAATGGAACTTAATTACTGTTTTGTCATTTATGATAATTGTATTACTTCCAACACAGCCCTGGAGTTTGGACAATCATCTATGTTTAGACTCAGACAAAGTTCATGGTGACTAGTACTAGAACTATAATAAAAAGATAACAGATGAAAAACAAACTACAGAGTGTGCTTGTTAAAACCACTACAGACACAGAAGCAGTTTTAAGGGGTGTTCATACTGGACGTGATACAATTTTTCGCTCGTCGCTTTACATATAAAGTCAATGAAAAGATGTGAATAGACGGTTCACTCTAACATTTGCACAGATCTGGAACATTAACTTAAAAACATCATACTGTCTACACTTTAATTACAGGATGCAGCACAAAATACGTAAATAGGTTTGACGTTTCATTGAGAGGCAACTGGAAGTCAGACACTGAATATTTATTGGAAGTTACGGCAGGAGAATTGACAAAGACATTCGCCGCAGCAACAAAAGTGACACAGCTCCTGCCTGGCCACATCTGAAGCTTTCTCACCCAGTCCCAAGTATTTATCTAGTTCTAGATCAGTGTTTCTCAAAGTTTTCATACCAAGGAACACTTAACCAATAAAAAAACACTCGCGGACCACCTAACTCCACAAATATCCAAAAACAATAGGCCTGCTTACCACTCCAACAGTATATAACAAATGACAGCCGAGCAATGACAGCTTAATCTTCTCTGTATCACCTCGTTCACACATTATATCAAAAATACAACTAAAGATTATATAAGCATTTCGTTCAAATGCGATCTAAAATGATCAGGTTTTACACCTCTTATGAAATGTAGACTACATTTATTACGGAGTTTATGTCCGAGCCAACAGACTCACAGATCGTTGGCTACTGAGAGATATGCAAAATGCACTGCATGTAGTTTGACACAAACCTCCGCTGTGGATTTTCAAAACAAAATACAGAAAAACTATGGTCGCAGGCCCAAGTTTAACTCTCTGAGGTCTAAGCCATTTTTTCACGTGTTAGGCTCGCGTGGGCTTTTTTTGTAAAAATGCTATTAAAACATGAACCTTGGTGACCATTGGGCTGGCCTGCATGTCTGCCTACAAAACAAAAATAAAAAAACGTTTTGCAGCCCCAACAACAGCCTCTGATCATCAACGGACTTCATGCAATGCTTGATTGGATGCATATATTAGATAATAATCTCTATCTGACACATCTAAATCTACTTTCAGCATGGATAAATGTTCATAAAAGACATCCATTGTTTGTTTTATACGCTTCTTGAAATAAAAATAAAAACGCGTTTTTCTAGAACAGATTACAAATCGCCTGAAAATAGTACAAACAAGTGGCAACATGTGTGACGAAGGTGTTGGGCTGGGCTATATCATGCAATCGAAACTTAAGCTTGCTGCATCGAGTGAGGAAAACTTATTTCAAATGTGACATTTTACCAATATACTCACGGACCACCAGAGAAGCACTGTTCTAGATACAACTATTCTCACACTCCCTGAAGCAATGTCACTGCTTTGAAGTCCCATCAAATAGTGAGATTGTTTCAGCACTAAAAAGTTCACTTGATTCGTATTTGATCCGCACTAATCAAATACTGTGAGCCGTCACATTTTGTCGGAAAAAATGTTCTAATAAACCTTTGAGTTGCAAAATGAGAACATTTGAGTTGAAAAGGGTCGAGCCAAAACACCCCGCCCACTAGACAAAGAAAGATTGGAACTGGAAAATGTTAAGGATGGATCATTTAAATGTAACAATGGGGAAATCAGAAACATCCATACCTGCCAATCCATTGCAGGATATGAGTCCAGCAGAACTAGCAATGCTGACAAGATGGCCGTGATTGTTGGCAATCATGGCGGGAAGGAAAGCCTTGTAGGTCTGAGCAGAGAGAGACACAAATTAAGCATGATATTTAATATAGAGACCTGAACAGGGATTTGATTGTAGAGCTCAGAGGACAATTGACTTTCACACTACATCACTTCAATAGAGGATTATTTTTTGATAAATCAAAATTCAATTCAATGCTTCAACGTTGAACTTTTAACTAGATCTTTGGTTCTTCATGAAGAGAGGAAATGTGCTTATAGAAGTCACATGACCGAATTTCAGTTATCTGATATGTAGTCGTGGAAGAAACAAATTAGTGGACCAAACTTTAACACTTAACTGGATTTAATCTTTCTAGAATGTATTGATGATTCAATCAAATGTAATTGTATAGTAAATTGTGTTGGAGTTCCTTGCCCTGCCTACATTTAGAACATTATTAGAAAGAAATGCTAAATGATTAAAAAAAATTATCATATCTCTACAATATTGACTGATCTGTCTCTTCATCATCAATCAGGTTAAGTCTCTGTAATAAATAATTTGGACCCAGAGGTAAGCTGTGTGGGTATGTTGTGTCTGACTGACCCAGAAGTGAGACATGGTGTTGACCTCCATCGTCTTCTCAATCAGAGAATCAGGAGCCTCCATGAACGTCTTCCCCGTCACAATACCAGCATTGTTCACCAGAATGCTGACGTCTCCCACCTCCCGCTTCACCTGCATGCAGCAAAGAAAAAGGTCAGTGATCCAATTTTGTAAAAATATACTTTCAAAGATTAGGATTAATATTATAATTCATTTGTATTAATCCCAGAGGGGAAATGTAGTTCCATGCATGAAGAAATTCCAGATATGAATTTCCTGGGCTACTTAGTAGATATTTCCATCCAAATACATCTTGCCAGGTCCATTACCAAGTTGATGATACAATAGTATATGTTACAACAATACTTTAAAGAGCCCTATTATGCTCTTTGGGTTTTCCTTTCCTATGTAGGGTGTTATACAGGTGCATCTCAATAAATTAGAATATCGTGGAAAGGTTTCTTGGTCTTATGTAATATTCAAATGTTCTGAGATACTGATTTTTGGGTTTTCATTTGCTGTAATCATCAAGATTACAACAAATAAAGGCTTGAAATATTTCACTTTGTGTGTAATGAATCCATATAATATATGAGTAACAGTAAATTAACTTTTCCACAATATTGAAATATATTGAGATGCACCTGTATAGGTTTATGTGCATGTAACTGGTCTGGTCCCCGCCCTGCCTGCGGTTGACCAATCACAACAGAGCCGGTCAGCCACCAATCAGAGCAGACTGGGCTCTGGTTTCAGACAGAGGGTGAAAAGAGGTGCTGCAGCACAGAGTATGAGAAAAGAGAGCTTTTTGAACATTAAGCATGGAGACATGTCACAGTAGAGTAGAGACACAACATACTGATATGAACCTGAAAATAGGCTTAATCTGTCCTCTTTAAATAACTTAATGAATACAAATAATAGTAAACATGACATAACCTTTCTTCCTAATCTTTCAATCCGTCATGACAACATAAATATTAAACAGAGCTCTTTCACTTGCATCAGAAGGAGGTTTGTGGAGTTGTAGCATTTGTTTATCGGAAATCAGACACACGCTTTTTTGTTTTTACAGCGTTTCCATAGACATATGCATTTTACATTTACGCTAAATAATAATTTACATGACTCACCACTCCCTGCATTTAGTCAAAACACTGAATGTTTACACAACACTCATCCCTGCCCTGCTTTAAAGACACACACACGTGAGAAAACAACAGGGGAATAGGAGCCTGACGCCATAGGTTAACATGGGTTTATTATTACATTACATTACATTGCATTTAGCTGACGCTTTTATCCAAAGCGACTTACAATAAGTACATTCGACCAGGAAGACACAACCTTGAAGAAAACAGAATCATATAAGTACATCAGGTTTCATAGAGCCAAACATTTCAAGTGCTACTCAACTGGCTTTAGGTAAGCCAGTCCTTTATTAGTATAAAAGTGCTTCGTTAATAGTTCTAACGCTCAAAGTGGAGTCGAAAGAGATGAGTTTTCAGTTTGCGCCGGGAAGATGTGCAAGCTATCTGCCGTCCTGATGTCAATGGGGAGCTCATTCCACCATCTTGGAGCCAGGACAGCAAACCCACGTGTTTTCGCCGATGGAACTTGGGTCCCCCTCGCAGCGAGGGCGCAACGAGTCGTTTGGCTGATGCAGAGCGTAGTGCACGCGCTGGGGTGTACGGTTTAACCATGTCCTGGATGTAGGAAGGGCCAGATCCATTCGCAGCATGGTAAGCAAGTACCAGTGTCTTGAAGTGGATTCTAGCAGTTACCGGAAGCCAGTGAAGGGAGCGGAGGAGCGGAGTGGTGTGGGAGAATTTAGGAAGGTTGAAGACCAGACGAGCCGCTGCATTCTGGATGAGCTGCAGAGGTCGGATGGCACATGCAGGTAGACCAGCCAGGAGGGAGTTGCAGTAGTCTAGGCGTGAGATGACGAGAGCCTGGACCAGAACCTGAGTCGCTTTCTGAGTCAGCTGGGGACGTATCTTCCTGATGTTGTAAAGCGTGTATCTGCAGCAGCGGGTTGTAGCAGCGATGTTTGCAGTGAAGGACAGGTTGTTATCTAGGGTCACACCCAGATTCCTTGCAGTCTGTGTCGGGGAAACAACTGAGGTGCCGATGTTGATTGTTAGGTCAAGTGGGACAATCTTTTTCCCGGGAGGAAGAGCAGCTCAGTCTTGTCAAGGTTGAGCTTGAGGTGGTGAGCAGACATCCACTGAGAGATGTCAGCTAGACAAGCAGAGATGCGTGCGACGACCTGGGTCTCTGAGCGGGGAAAGGACATAATTAATTGGGTGTCATCAGCGTAGCAGTGGTAAGAAAAACCATGCGGGCTAATGACTGATCCGAGCGAGTTTGTGTACAGGGAGAAGAGGAGGGGACCAAGAACAGAGCCCTGAGGGACCCCCGTAGTTAATTGACAAGGGTCAGACTCAGACCCTCTCCAAGTCACCCTGTAGGTACGGTCTTTGAGGTATGAGGTGAGGAGGGAAAGTGCAGAGCCTGAAACTCCAAGTTTTTGGAGAGTGCGAAGGAGGATCTGATGATTCACCGTGTCGAATGCAGCAGACAGGTCCAATAGGATGATGACAGAGGAGATGGGATGCAGTTTTGGCAGTGTGCAGTTCCTCCGTGACAGCAATTATTATAACTAACAGGTGTTAGCTAACTTGGAGCAACAACAACAATGAATATTCCATAGCCTTGTTGCTAATTGGATTGGGTTGCTAATAGTAGCCAAGTAGTTAATCTCAGTTTTTGCCATTTATCTAGGTAACATGATGTGGAAAGCATAGTGGAGGACAATGATGAGGTGAAAGGGCCATATGGCATATGCGCCGGTGACGAGGAAACAAAGAAAATGTCGGTCCGGTCTCAGAGAGAAAGCAGCACGTGAGGAATAACTGATAAATGAATAGACCTTGTTTGTTTGTAGCCTTTATTTAACCAGGTGAAAGCCCCATGAGATCAAAATATCTCTTTTTCAAGGGTGACCTGCTTCCATCTGCCCTGCTTTGCTGCTGTAGCTGAGGCCTGCTTCCATCTGCCCTGCTTTGCTGCTGTAGCTGAGGCATGCTTCCATCTGCCATGCTTTGCTGCTGTAGCTGAGGCCTGCTTCCATCTGCCCTGCTTTGCTGCTGTAGCTGAGGCCTGCTTCCATCTGCCCTGCTTTGCTGCTGTAGCTGAGACCTGCATCCATCTGCCCAGCTTTGCTGCTGTAGCTAAGACCTGCTTCCATCTGCCCAGCTTTGCTGCTGTAGCTGAGGCCTGCTTCCATCTGCCCTGCTTTGCTGCTGTAGCTGAGGCCTGCTTCCATCTGCCCAGCTTTGCTGCTGTAGCTGAGGCCTGCTTCCATCTGCCCTGCTTTGCTGCTGTAGCTGAGACCTGCTTCCATCTGCCCTGCTTTGCTGCTGTAGCTGAGGCCTGCTTCCATCTGCCCTGCTGTGCTGCTAGCTGAGGCCTGCTTCCATCTGCCCTGCTTTGCTGCTGTAGCTGAGGCCTGCTTCCATCTGCCCTGCTTTGCTGCTAGCTGAGGCCTGCTTCCATCTGCCCTGCTTTGCTGCTGTAGCTGAGGGCTGCTTCCATCTGCCCAGCTTTGCTGCTGTAGCTGAGACCTGCTTCCATCTGCCCTGCTTTGCTGCTAGCTGAGGCCTGCTTCCATCTGCCCTGCTTTGCTGCTGTAGCTGAGACCTTCTTCCATCTGCCCAGCTTTGCTGCTGTAGCTGAGGCCTGCTTCTATCTGCCCGCTTTGCTGCTGTAGCTGAGGCCTGCTTCTATCTGCCCAGCTTTGCTGCTGTAGCTGAGGCCTGCTTCCATCTGCCCTGCTTTGCTGCTGTAGCTGAGGCCTGCTTCCATCTGCCCTGCTTTGCTGCTGTAGCTGAGGCCTGCTTCCATCTGCCCTGCTTTGCTGCTGTAAGCTGAGGCCTGCTTCCATCTGCCCTGCTTTGCTGCTGTAGCTGAGGCCTGCTTCCATCTGCCCATGCTTTGCTGCTGTAGCTGAGGCCTGCTTCCATCTGCCCTGCTGTGCTGCTAGCTAGGCCTGCTTCCATCGGCCCGGCTTGGTGCTGTAGCTGAGGCCTGCTTCCATCTGCCCTGCTTTGCTGCTGTAGCTGAGACCTGCTTCCATCTGCCCTGCTGTGCTGCTAGCTGAGGCCTGCTTCCATCTGCCCTGCGCTGCTATGCTGGCGTGGGAAAATGGCCCCTATCGTGATTCTGCTGTGCCTGTTGGCTGTCTTGGACAGTGAGAAGTTCTCTCGTCATCCTGAGAAGTCGATTGGATTCCGTCTGTTCTGCCGCCCGCAGTGGGCATCCCCTGCAAAGGATCGGGTGTGTTTCGCGAACGATGTTCCAGTCGCCTTGTCTCAGCCCATCAGTTCGGGCAAACCTATGTGCCACGATCTGTCTGTGTTGTGTTTTGTCTTGTCTAGATCTGTCTTTGGTTTTCTGTGCTGCGTTGTTTCTTGTCTGGTTTAGATCTGTCTGTGGTTCCTGTCGTTAGTTTCCCTGGTGTGTCCTAATTTACCCCGATTGTGTTCACCTGGTGTCCCATGTGTTTTTCTCCTCCCTCCTCACCTGTGTCTTGTTTGTATGATTAGTCTTGTGTGTATTTAAGTTCTGGTTTTTCTGTCTGTCTTTGTCGGTTTGTCTTGTGTAATGACTTGGTCTGCAGTGAGTGTTCTGTTCAGTCTTTGTTAAATTGTTTAGCCTTGAAATAAAGGAGTTATTTTTGTCACTTGAATCTGCATTTGGGTCCTGCTTCCTACACACATCGTAACACTGTTTGTCTTTTTAGCTTGTCTTCCATGATGGTTCTTCAGGACTGCTTCTTGAGCTCTAACCACACTTTCGCAGATTTGCTGGTGATTTTAAAGTAGGTGACAATTTATGTGTGTCGATTAAGAGGAAAATATGCCTGGTTTTCTTGTTATTATTGCTATCAGGAAATGTGCAACCAAACCCTGGACCTCCCAGTAGTGGTAGTCAGATCGCTACTCCTGCTGATTTTAAATCTAGGTCTGGGTTGGGTTTCATCCATTTGAATGTGCGCAGTCTTTTATCTAAATCTAAACTAGATTTTGTCCGCATCCTGGCAAACTCGACTGACACTGATGTCATTGTTT